GATGATCCGGCCTCCTCCTGAGTCATCGCCATGGAGTGAACAAGTGTCTAGTGTTTGTTGTAGTTTTATTTCAATTTTTATTTTGATAGAATATTTACCTTATTTTCGTATTATTTGTGTTAATGGTAGTCTTGAGTTATCTAGTATAGCTATGATCGATCGTTAGTATTGCAATCTTTACTGGTGTTAATTGCTTCGATACTCCAATATATTTAGTGAAAAGTTTCACTCAATTTTAGGTGAACTTTTCTATGTTTGAATAGGGACTGAGAGGACCTTTTGGCTATTATGAGTCTAGTGAAGTGGTAAGGAGTACAGTGACCTTAAGGGTCAGAAAGAACTCAGTATTGCTCGTTTGGTGGTTAGCGATTCACGCTGCTTTTTTGGAGGTTGTCATCTCAGATTTTTTGAGTTTAGATGGAGTTTGTCAGAAGATAAGTGATGAGTTTTGAGCTATTGGTTGGTTGTAACTCTTGATTCTTTTGATATTTTAATATAAGATTCTTTTCCTTTCAAAAAAGAAAGACTAATATTGTCATCTTGAAATGACATTATTTTCGAATTGACATTTCCCAAATTCTAAAAGTACAAGAAAAAAGTATGTCTTTTTTCAAATCAAATAAATTGAAATGAATCAAAAAATAGATCCAAAACTTCTGGTTAACCGATAGTTGGAACCTCCCATTTTGAATCCAAAAATTTCAGATCTAAAATAGCAATTTTCATTTTGAATCTCAAAATTGAAGAAATAAAATTGACAAACAATATCAAAAGATCAAAGAGCACGAGGACAAGGATAATTAGGAGAGGAGGAGGAGGAGGAGGAGATTGGTGCACGTAAGCAGGGTAGAGGAGGTGATATAAAATAGGCAATTAGCAACAGTATGTGGTGAAGTCGACCGGCGAAGGAGACGAGTCAAGAATGAATTAGCAGGCGGAGACGATTGTCTGATATGAGCGGCAATTAGTGGTGGCAGCGTGGCATATTGAGGAGTTGTAAGTAGGGATGGCAACGGGTTTGGGGCGGGAGTTCACTCCCCCATCCCCGCCCCATGTCTAAATAGTCCCCCCTCCACCCCCACCCCATCCCCCACTACTCCCCGACCCGCCCCATCCTCGCCCCACCCCATTGTCCCCTACACGTCCCCACGGGTGCCCCCATATAAATTTTATTTGGTATTATTTGCATATGTTTTAACCTATTTTATAGATAAATATATATGTAGCACTAAAAAAGGTAAACTAGCTAATATTGTGATTAATAAAAGTTAATTCCGTCAATTTTTAATAATTCTTTAATTTGAATAAGTTATGTGAAGATATACAAGTAAAAATGTAAGTAAACATATTATCAACTTGTATGTCTTTACAGATTTCTCATCAATTAAAATACAATTAATTATTTATATTGTACATATATATGCATATGTGTGTGCTATTTCCTCACTTTCTCACTTTTAAAACACATCTAACATTTATGATAAGTATTTTCAGTCATTATGTACTCATATTAATATTCTAATATAATAATATGCATTAGTTCATTAACCGTGACTATATGTATATGTATATGTATATGCATATGCATATGCATGTGCATGTGCATGTGCATGTGCATGTGTATGTGTATGTGTATGTGTATGTGTATGTGTATGTGTATGTGTATGTGTATAAGTATGTGTATGTTATACACTACATATAATGTAATTATGTATATGCATATGTATATGTATATTGATATATATGTGTGTTTGTGTGTATTATATATTTTGAGTTTATATTTATAACGAGGACGGGGCGGGTGTAGCAATCCCCATCCCCGCCCCGCCCCAAACCCCACTCCATCCTCCCCCAACGGGGCGGTTCCCCACGGGCCCCCGACCCCATTGCCATCCTTAGTTGTAAGGGAGTGTTTGCAATACCATAAAAAAGCGTTTCTCGACTTTTGGCATTAAAAAGCTAAAACTAATGTTTTCAAATAATAACTTCTACTTAATAAAGCGTTTCTCGACTTTCGTGTGAAACGTGTCTTTTACTTTTTCTTTAACACAAAAAACACTTATTTTACCAAACACTACCAACTTTTATTTTTCAGAATCACTTTTTTCTCAAACACTCACAACTTTTACTAATCATTTTTTTCCAAAAACACTTCCATAAGTGCTTTGTGTAAGCAAAAGCAGTTGCAAACATTCCATAAGAAGATTTGATTGTTAACGCTGAGAGAATATAGAAGTATGTATTAGGGTTATTAGATGAGTGTTATGGTTAAATTATTAAATGTATGATATTCATGAATCCCCCCCCCCCCCAATGTTTTACGATTTAGAATGAAAAGATATTTCGGTATATAGTGTATCCGGATTTAAAGAAATCCGGAACAGCAGGAGTAGATTGGACGTTTATTTAAATGATTGTTGAATGTAAAATTAATTTGACTAATTATCTACAAGATCAACATGTTGAAACGTTAACAATGAAACGTTATGCTAATTTAGAGCATGTTTGGTAAATGGTAATGCTCAAATCGGTTAGCTGATTCTACTGGCGTTTATGAAATTCTGGTTGATGTGACTGGATTGTCTGATTCTATTAATTTATTATAAAATTAAATTTAAACTATATTTTACTAATAACATAAAGAAAAAAATAATATAAAAGATAGCTAAAATGATTTTATATAGTAACTTCAACCAATACGGTCAGAACAATAACTCTAACCTTATTTTCCTTATCATTACACAATTTAGCGCAAGAAATCAAAAGTTACGTGTTTGATGAATAAGTTGACTAATAAGCCTAATTATGACACAACAATGAATAACAATAATAACATATCTGAGTTAGAATTTAGTTAATTTACAAATCTTTCAGACCATAATCCTTGACCTTAGGTATCTACGTGATTTATCCTTTTCAAAAGAACGGTTGGATCTCCCAAAGAGAAAGGGCTAAGTAAATATCTTCGCAAGAAAATAAGTGGTAATATTGAATCTGAAAAATTGGAGTCTAAACTATGAAAAAGAAGAATGTATTTATTCTAATTCTAAACTAGTTTTCGTGAAAGCCTTTCTCATTGATGAGTTTTAGTTCAACTAGGACTAGTAATCATAATATTTAATAAAATAAATGTCACAAAGTGAGAATATGATAATAATAACAACAACAATAGCAATAGCAATAGCAATAGCAATAGCAATAGCAATAGCAATAGCAATAGCAATAGCAATAGCAATAGCAATAGCAATAGCAATAGCAATAGCAATAGCAATAGCAATAGCAATAGCAATAGCAATAGCAATAGCAATAGCAATAGCAATAGCAATAGCAATAGCAATAGCAATAGCAATAGCAATAGCAATAGCAATAGCAATAGCAATAGCAATAACAATAGCAATAGCAATAGCAATAGCAATAACAATAGCAATAGCAATAGCAATATAGCAATAACAATAACAATAACAATAACAAGCAGTGGTTGCATTACATTCTTTATTCATTATTATTTATATTATTTTGATTTTCCTTTTAATACCAAATAATAAAACAAAATATTAATTTATTTAATAATGCATACATCTTAATTAAGTATAATAAATCTAATTTATCTTACTTAATTAATTCTATCAAATAGAACTCTCTTTCAACATTATGAGTTAAATATATTTTAATCTAATTAATATTTAATCCATTTTCAGTATTACGAATTAAATATTATCTAATCTAAATGATATTTAATACCTCCTAACAATTCAATCGTAATGTATAATCACTTGTTGTGTGATCCATAGGACCTTATATATTTAACACCAATCAAATTAAGGTATTAGCGAATCCCTAGACGATTATCCTTCTCCACTTAATGTATAAGGACGTATGTGAGGACTATTCAAACTCCTTGTAATATATAGCCCAGATACGGTCCTTTCATTCATGGACATTTAACTAAGTTTAAAACATGATATTGTGTCTAATCCAATAATTTAGTATTTGTCTCTCAATCTTTCGAGATGATCCATAACGATCATATTCGATATCCAAAACGAATACATCTTTGTATTGACCAATGACTTTATGATCTATTGACGTGCACTTTGTCGTGAGTGCACTCAAAATAAATTCAATACTAACACTTATACGTAGTATAGGTGAAGTAGAGTTCGTATCCACAGGGAAAGGAATAATTTATCTTTTTAACGAAAGGAGTAAATAAAGGGGGGTTTTGGGTTGAATGATTTAATTAAATTAAACACGAAGATGAACGAGTTATATGTGATTTAATTCAAAGATAAAAAGGACTTGGCATTGCTACTTTCCACTTGTTGATATATTTTAGTCGATCATTGTTATATCTATAACTTATCTCCTCTCGAATACTCAATCGAGGAGTATATCCAATTCATCGAGGATAGTTATTAACAACGACCGTTCATTAATAACCCTTACTATTAGTCAAGTATAGAACAACGCCATATACCGACTTGATAGTAGCATTTAATCTTTTAACTCCTTGATGAAATCAATTGAGATTGATAACCTTAACACAACGGTTTCGGTTTAACCAACAAAATTAATCCCTCTTAAGTTTATTAACCACGACCGTGCATTAATAAACCGAAGTTACTTACTTGTGAAACCATCAACGATTAACCATCGGTTCGTTGATCGTTTCTAGTAATAATTAATATTTGAAACAAAACTAGTTGATCCTTTAAGTAATGTTCAAAAATATTAATATGAAATATGAATAGGAATTAATTAATACTCAAGGAAGAATATTAAAGGGAATGAATCCTACTATAGTTAAATATCAAGATGTTAACTAATTGTCATCTTAGTAACACTCCCCGATATTAACATAGAGGAAGGAATAGCTATTACTAAAACCAATGTCAAGATGTTAACTAATTGTCATCTTAGTAACACTCCCCAACATTGATATAGAAATAGTATTTAAAGGAAGAATTAATATTCAAGGAAAAGAAGTTAAGAAAATAACTCACAACTTTAATAATCAACAAGCTTCAAGAGCAATACCAAGAAATGGAAGTTTAGCTCCTCATTTGGAGACTAAACATGCTAAAAGAAATATAAAGAAATGCTATTCTAAACTGAGCTTAAGAGTGTATATGAATTGGTATCTTAAAGTGAAGGAAAGGAGGTGTATTTATAGGCTTTTTGAGGTGCAGGCTCGGGTACTCGATCGAGTATATACAGATACTCGATCGAGTATGTGTAGAAATACCAGATTCGAGGTATACTCGATCGAGTATATGTTCATACTCGGTCGAGTATGTGCAGAAAGTGATATTCGAGCCATACTCGACCGATTTCGGATTTAAACTCAAAGGCATACTCGATCGGGTATGTCGGTCTACCCGATCGAGTATAGACACTAAATCGTGGCCAAAATCTTCCCGGCATGTTCCTTTGTCTTCGGATCCGATCCGATTTGAAGTTTCAACCTTATACTCGATCGAGTATAGGTAATACTCGACCGAGTATAGACCAAAATCAGGATTTTCCCTTTTGTCTTGTGATTTTGCACCTTCCTTCCACTTTTGGGGTTCACCAACTGTCCTTTGAGTGATGGTAGACCTGTTTGAGCTCAGAATGACCCTAATCTAAACAAATTACAAGAATTCAACAAACTAAACTATTACACCAAAAGTGTGTAATTTCCGAAATACTAAACAACCAAAACTAGCTAAAAACGTAAACATACACACGGAAATTACAAGTGTATCATCTATCTAGATATAAAAATAGAATTTTTTTCTCTTAATCTATTACAAGAAATGAATATTTCTTGGTTCAACTACTACTATAAGATGAGTAGTACACTTATATTTAATACTTTAATATATATACTAATTATGTAAGTACATATAATATACTAAAATATAAGTAGTTAATAAGTATATAATTTAATAAGTGGAATACAAGCAAATAATAAGTATATAAGTGAATATAATATATGTAAATATAACAAGATATAAGTATATAAGTAGATATAATATTATATAACTATTCTAATTAGATATAATATATACATTAATATACGTAAATATAAGATATAGAAATGTGCAGAGAGAATTGGAGAATATGATGGGTTTAAGAATGAGTAGGAAGAATTGAAAATGTTTAGAAAATTTGTGTATTTATAGCGTTTTTTGCACCCCCACCCCCACAACCCCCACCCAAACCGCCCAACCCACCCCCAATCCATTTAATTTGAATTTTTATTTAAAAACAAATATAGTTGTTAGGCCTGAACTGGGCCCCAGACCGGCCGGACCCCAAAACTTGAGCCCGAAGTCCGCTCCAATTCATTCCCGATCTAGGTACCATGTCGGCACCGGTACTGAAAAACCAGGCTCGGACCGGTACCAACAGTACCGGTCATGAGTCGGTACAGGGTCGGACCACCTGCCCTCGGTCCATCCCTAAATATATGACCTTGTTGGTCAAATTTTATTCTTATATAAAAGCCAATAGATTTTTTAAAACAACTTTGATTTAGTTATATTTAAGAAAAAATACTTCTACAAATCAAATTTATTCATGCCAAATCTTTCGATTTAATATGCAACACACCCCTAATGCTCTGTTTGGATAAAATGAAGTTAAACCTAGTGCTATAAAGTAAACATAAGTTTTAATAAAAACTAGGTTCATACGTAAAATAGTGTTTGGAAATATAAATAATAAAAGGAAAATCCCGACAACTGCGATGGAGTGTCACAAGGGTTAGGTCCCGGGTTCGAATCCCGGCAACTGCGATGAGGGGTTACTATGCTGAAAAATGCATAGATCCTCTGTAAGTACCGGGGACAGAGCCTCACTCTCTATCTGTCAGATTGTGATTATAGTCCAATTTGCATCCTCCCATCGTGCTGTCCGGTCAGTGTTGGGGGCCTCAGGGATGGGGTGTCATCCTTTTTTTTTGGAAATATACAAGGTGAACCTAGGTTTCATTTTCCTTTTTCATTTACCCCAGTGTCGCAAAGGCTCCCACCTACGGTGGGATAAGGTGAACCTAGTTTAATGTAATAAATGTTATTTGGATGAGGGTACTCTAGTTCATTTTATGCTAAACGACAATTTAACCTCCAAAACCTTCCGATTCGGGGGTTCTTTAATTTAAGGTTCTTCCAGGTTCTCAGGAGTTAAGTGAGTTTAACACATAATATAGATTCTTGATGCAAAAATACAAATAAACGATTAACTAGAAATTGAATCTTGAATGATATAGATTAATCCCAAACAAACCAGCCATAAATATAATAATTTTATAGAAAGCACGCTAAAGTTTCACGATTTTCTTTTTCCATAACCAAAGGCGACGTTAACGCCCGGAACGAGATAGCGGACTGACAAGCAGCTAAGCAGGTGACAACGATGACGACGATCATGATGCAACGCTTTCTGCCATTGAATTCATGCCCTCCTTCACTAACCATTCTGAATACCCACATTCTTAAACCCATTTTCTTGACCAGTCTCGAACCCTTCGAGCATAGCCCACTCAGGCGCCATATACTAGCCGATGTTGACCGCAAGTTTGCCAATAAAATCCCCAATAAATCCACTCAATGGATGGGAATTCGTTTCAAGGTACATTTTTGAATTCCTACTTTAGGATTTTTGTTGCAAAGCTGCCTTGTTTATCCAGTTAGCTAAGCGGATGTTAAGATTGGGATTAGACCTTCCATGGGTGACTCGGTTTTTTGTTCAATTTTGATTTTGTGTTGTTGATTATATTCAACACAGCTTTATCCAGTAATTAGTAGCTAAGTTTTAGTGTTTCTTATCATCTCTGGCTGTGTTTTGTTTAGCAAATTTTGGATTTGAGGTGTTTAAATCTGAGTAAATTAAGATAACCTCGTGAACACTACCCGAAAGCAGAAGGGAAGCATACTATGGGAGTATAGGGGCAGGACATGAAGGAAACATTTTTACTTTTGGATTATGAGAAGGAAACTGTATGCTTACAGTTGATTAATTGTTAATGGATGAAATAAAAATATGCTTGGTCCAAATTTATAGGGTTTGATCCAGTGGTCTTGCATTGGACTTATCCTTCTCCACTTATCTAATCCTCATTTGTGGTGGCTTCCACTATCATTTCCTTAGCAGGCAATGGTGGCTTGCAGGATTCCCACCATGCCACTTGTTGCTGCTAATGCATTGCTATTATCAGCCCCATTAGAAGCCGTAGCAGAAACATGTGTGCCTGATAAATCTAGCTTCAACTTCAATATGCCATTGCTTCTGTTGGTTTCCCTTATTGGGGCAACTGTTGGAGGTATGCATTTCATCTTTTTGCACATCATAATGGCTTTTGGTGATGTTCCAGATCTACTCTGTGTAATGCAAATAAAAATACATTTTATCTAGCACTGATGTGAGTTCTAGACATGAAATTTACATGAATTTAGATGTGGGGTCCAGTAATTATTGGCTTTACTCAAGAGTTTATAGGAAAGTATTAACCGTTTGGTTCATATTTTACTATTGTTTCGTACATTCTGCTTTTTTTCCTTATGTGTTTGTATTTAATATTTTCCTAATCGATTAATCAATGAAGGAAAAAATTATTGGACTCTATTTAATAGTTGTGTGCCTTACTTCAGTACTTCAATCTCATTTGGGCATAAAGAAGTTTTTTTGGATGTTGCTTATAACTTATAAGTGGTTTAGAGTAAACATAGCCTAAAACTCTGTGACAGAAAGAACATCTGACTTTAAAGTTTAATGATTAAACTTTACACACACAAAAAAAGGATGACACCCCATCCCCGAGGGGCCCCCAACACCGACCGGGCAGTTAGATGGGAGGATGTAAGTAAATTAAACTTTACACAATCACAAATGATTTATGTTTATATAAATTAATCGTCAAAAAAAACTGTTTATGTAAATTACTTGCAGGACTTCTTGCTCGGCAGAGACGAGGAGAACTTGAGAGAGTGAATGAGCAGTTGAGGCAGATAAACACTGCTTTGAGAAGGCAAGCTAAAATCGAGTCTTATGCCCCAAGCTTAAGTTATGCTCCCATTGGTGGAAGGATACCTGAAAGTGAACTGATTGTAGATCCTAGGAAGCAAGAATTGATTTCTCATTTGAAAAAGGGAAAGAACTTTCTCAGAAATCAAGCCCCTGAGAAGGCCTTTTCGGAGTTCAAAATAGCACTTGAGGCTGCACAGAATTTAAAGGATCCAATAGAGGAAAAGAAGGCTGCCAGGGGATTAGGTATGTCTTGCACATATAATATCTTGTGTTGTTTTTACCCCATGGGGGTCGGGGGGAGGGGGCTGGGGTAAACCGGGATCAAACTCACTCCATTGAGTATTGAACCCGGGACCTCCCATAAAGGAGAGTGAGTCAGCGACCAGCTGAGGTGGACCACTTCCTAATATAATATCTTGTGTATATTTCAGAGAAATTAATTACTTCTTATTATATCTTTGTTATATTGTTAAAAGGAAAAAAAATAACAATAGTTGAGATTGAAAATATATAGAGAGAGCAAATCTATGGACTTCAAAAGGAGATTGAAGGAGAATCACAAAAGGAAATGATATGGGGTAAACTGTAGAAAAATGTCCTTACATTTGCTTATTGTGCTTTCTGAGTCAATTAATTGAATACCAAATCTATTCTAGACAATGGCAAAAGTGCATAGAATAAAATTATAAATGAGCACTATTATACTACACTCTCTCTTTCCATTGTATATGAAACATATGCTATTTCTTGGACAAACCAACTACTTTTTCATCATTTTAAAATATATATTTATAATTTTATGTTTGATTTTTTATCTTATACTACCTCCGTCCCCGAAAGAAGTTCCCGTTCGGTTTACGATGCTTGACTGACGATAAAGCAACTCGATCCCTGTTCACACTCGGATTATTTTTAGTAAATAAAATTTACATATTCAGAAACTACATTAAAACTGCTACAAAGCCTGATCAAGAAAATTTAAGTTTGATAAAAATTTGATCTATAAAGTATAAAGTAAAGGATTAGGAGCGATTCAAGTTGACTGAGAACTTCTTTCGGGGACGGAGGGAGTATAAATTTCATATTTGATGTTGAAATACATAATTTTCATTCATTGTTTTTTGTCAAATTCATTCACTCGTATGATAAGGTTTTTACTGTGAAGTATGGTAAATATTGTTTACTATTTAAGCGGTTCATTTATGTGTTTTGGAAAAATCTGATTTTGCTATATGAACATTGTTTTCTAGAAACAATTAAAGGAAAATTACTATAAACCCTAGAGATTAAACCATACTCCTTTGTCCAACCTTGTGTTTTCAAAACTAAATTAGTTACCCTTTGAGTTTCAATTATTCTTGCTACTCATCCCTTCCATTAATATTTATCTCATTTGACTCTAAGAGCATCTCCAATGCCACAATGTGCACGGTACAAATGTGACTGAGAGATACAAACACTAATATTAGTAAGCATAATATCTTTCTCCTTATTTCAACGGTCTTATATGTTTTTGGTAAGTTTTTCTTCACAATGTCAAGAATAGTGTCTAGATGTAGACATTCTGGTTGACATTTTTAAGAAAAAGTTATCAAAATTATATTAAAAAATGGAAAAAGGAGAGAGAAATGTTATTGGATTTTATGTGTCTCTCATAACACATATGCACCGTGCACATTGTTGCATTGGAGATGCTCTAAGTTAAATTCTAACGAGAGTTGACGAAATTATCACCTTTAAAAGTCAAAGCATTCCTCTTTCATTATTATCTTCTCTTGATTTCTTCACTTCTACTACTCGCAGAAGAAAATGGCCGAATTGAAATCTTATATTCCGCTTACCCTATACCATTAATGTGTCTACCACTCATTCCGGATTGAATAGAATTATAATAGTTATTTTTAGCTTTTGTCTATTACTAATTAATTGACATCGATCAAGTCCAAAATGAGTCGTACACAAATGAGATAAGGAAAGGTTTGAGCTCAGTCCTGGTATGTTTGCAGGGGCATCATTGCAAAGGCAAGGTAAGTACCGGGATGCAATTAAATACCACTCTCTGGTTCTGGAGATTTCAG